CAATGGACGTTAACTTGTCCATTTATTACCGAGGGATGCTTCGCGCGGCTTTACGACCCCGCGAGTCAGCAAAAATTAATAGGCCGATGATGGCTTGATCTTCATTAAGACGATTCACTTTGATGCGTTTTGCGCGACGCTCCGCCCTTTTTATGACTTGGACGTTAAGCTTTGCTTTCGGCTTTGTACATCAATTCTCACTTCTTCTGTATAACATTTCAGAACATTTACTATGCTGTTTTACTTGCCAATGAAAATTTCAAAAATACATAAATAGTTGATTTTATTTCGAAAGTTTAAAGAGTTTTACAGTCGCGTCAGATCGTAAAAAAATAATTGTTATGTATCCATTTCAAATTGGCTGATTACAGAAACTTGAAATTACCTACAGAACGGTTTCGGTCGCATAGAATCATGATTACTATGAGCGTAATTTAAATCGAAATTGCTTATAAGATTCATTATCGATATAATATATGCACGTCATTTTTAATTTAAATTTTATAACATTATAAAAACTTTATAACGAGTAATTTAAAAAAACAGTGATCAAATATTCAATTCAGTTTATTGACAATATTGAACACTAAAGTAACTTTAAAATATATTCTTACGGTGGCAAGACTATATGTAAGTTGAAGAAACAAAAACAAAAAACAATAAAATATAAATAAAAATAAAAACTTGAAAAATTAAAAATATCAAAATTATCTATTTTCATAATTAAATTCACTTAAGTTATTTATCATTAGGATAAGGCGATATAGTGTGATTAATAGAAACGCGATAACAAATAAAATACAAGATAACGTGAACGAGCCAGTGACTATTACACAATGGTACAACGTCCGGTGTGTAGAGATAGCAGACGAGCGTGGTAAAAATGTAGAGGGGAGACAGTGCCACTAATCGAAAGAATCGCGCCGGCGCAGAAATGACTTGACTGCTTTTCAGCGCGCATAAGAGACGCCCAGCAACAAGAGCAGAGTGGCGCAGCGGAAGCGTGCTGGGCCCATAACCCAGAGGTCCGTGGATCGAAACCACGCTCTGCTAAGTAATTTTTTTTCATTTTCAATGGTTTATTTTTACTTCTTTATTTCACTTGATCGACTTACCATTTGATTGTGAGAGTGAAAATCGATTATATCATTTAATAAGTTTAATTAATTTATTCCATGGAAGCGTAATAGCGTACTTAAGAGCAGTTTCGTCAGTTCATTAAAATCCATTTTCATAAACGTTTAATGTAACATACGTTAAATAACGATTCGTTTACAATATCTGAAAATGAATTGTAACATTGATATTGATTGTTGCATAAACGCTTGCAAAACAAAACATTTATTGAAACATAACGCATTTTTTGAAAGTATTTGAATAACTCTTTTTAAATTTTATTCGAAAAGATATTGTGCGATGAAAAGGTTAGTTTTTGCAAGCAACAATGATTTATTGAATATTTAATGCAATTCATTACTTATGACGAAATGTATCAAATGAAAATGTCATACCAGCGAGAGACAAAACAATTTCATGAGAATGCCGTTTGCAAAATACGAAAAAGAAAATCTGAAAGTCGCTGAAGCGCACGTACATATGCATACACAATCGTGCGTTCGCGCAGACGGAAAGGCAACAATCACATAAGAGAGCCGTGCGCGAGTTGAAGTAGCGCGCGTTGAATATTTCGAGGGCCGCCGAGGTACACATACGCGAGAAATATTTGCAATTCAAAAATCATATCAAAACATTCATAAAGCTTTGGAAGGTATGTTTTAACAAAAGAGGGTCCTGACTCCCCGAAGTCCCGTAAGCTTTATCTTAATGTGTATATGTAATTCCATTTTGATTTCAAAGACGTCTTTAGCTTGTATTTTCAATCGACGTGATGACGTGACTCGCGCCATGATATATCGCTACGCATTATAAATTTTCAAAATTCCGCATGTATATTTTATTTATCGGCAGAACATGCGATGAAATGTAGCATTTATACAGTTGCGAGTGAGATTAATTTTTTCACGGATAATGTTGAGCAATAACGATGATACTGCCATGAATTATCATAAATCATGTTAATTGATGTCAATTCACATTATATGGCGAGAAAGAAGTATACAAAAATGAAATTATTAATTCGAAATCAATCATCTGAATCGGGTGAGCTCATTAAAATAAAATCAGGACCCATGTTGTCCATTATCGCCATATACTACACAGGACATTTCGTTACATTAAAGCTGTCAGACAGAGGGGAGCAAGAGCGGCGGCTGAAGATTCAATAACATAGGTGGACTTCAAAATTAATGAATCGAATTTACGAAAAATCGTGGCAGAAGGTACCATTAAAAAAAAAGAAAAAAAAACGAATATCTTGAAGTCGAAATCGCAAGAAAAAAAAGATGACACGTGGCCGTTGACTGGCGTGAACATTGAGTTCACGGGTTCATCGGAGGTCACGTGTATACGGAGGCTAAATTCTCGCGAGGTTCTCTCTATACTTTTGCACGCCCACGTGTTACACGTGTGCGAACTTGACCTTTATTCACGCGAATCGTGATCCACGTAGTCGTCGCTTATGGTATTGCTGCAGTTTCATCTTAAAAGGTTTTATTTTGAATGGGCTTTTTATATGCATGCTGATTTGTTTATTCGGCAATAAAATGCGAGTATCAGAAGAATCGAACTTGGCTTTTCTTGTCTTCGGATTCGTAATAACTTTCGCTCTTCGAACAATTGGAACAATCTTAATATTTCCTGCTACGTGAAAGATTCAACAAATGTAAAAATTATATATTTAAGAGCCATAAATAAAATAAAAATGTTGAATCTGTGAATCTGTACTCAAAAATGAAAATATTCATTGAGATTTAGCAATGACTAGTATTGGAAATCATAGTTACTCGTTAGAAAATATAATGATTTGGAGATTAATTCTCAGAAATATATGCTGACGGCATCTATCACAGTCAATGAAAAGCATTGAGGCTTTTATCCGGAATGTAAGATTATCACCGATACAAGCATTTGTTTTTCAATAAAAGCTTCATTATAAGCATCATGGCAGTAATATTCACGTAAATTCGCGGCGATTGTTAAAGTTTAATTTATCGCAACATTAATATTCAATGGAGGTCGTACGCAGCCATGAAATTTCCAGTTTGGGAGCTCTCGAAATTCAATAAAATTTCATTACACAGCCGATTACCACACGCAGCGCAGAGATGGGAAATGTCTGAGAATCCGTAAAATGCATGCAATATCCGCGTCGAGAGCGAAATCCTCTGTTCGTTACATATTCGCGAAATTACGGAGTTGGGGGGGGAGAAAAAATAATGAGATACGCATGCGCGCGCGCGAAATCCAGAATCCTCCGGGGGCTAAATTATTCCGATTAAGTGAGAAAAATCTCTTTGTCGGGGCCGAGCGTGTATATAGGATGGTTGATTGTTGCCGGGCCTCGCTCGCGCTCTTTTGCGAAATTGCGTGCGCCTGCTATATATGCGAACTCGGTCTATCATTAAAGCAGCCGGAGCTGGCTCGGCCGTGCCCCCTTCTTCTTTGCGCCAGCGTTGCGTTCGACAGCGGAACAAACCGGACTGCCTTACAGTGTTATGGGCATCCCCTACATACTTGCTTGCAAACTTCACGGGAATTTCTTACTTTTTTTGCGCGTACGTTTGCTTCGTCGGGTGTTTGATGCATTATGTGATGAGATGAGAGCGTTATGTGGAGAGATTTTGAAAACGTGATTGCACGAACCTTCATTTCGATTTTGAATTCTGTAGCTTCCTTTTTGGGTTGGCTCGGATATCTTATTTCATTCGAATACTAAAACATTTCTTGAAATATCATTATTGTATTATTTGAAAGATCGCGGCGTTAATAAAAAAACAATTTGTTGTCCCTATAGAATCACAATTTCTCCACATCCTAAGAAGTCAATTAGTAAAGCCAATTCAGTGACCACAAGAGTAACTCTTCAAAATTTACAACCGCGTGACGAGCTTGGTCATAAATTATATCAATTTAGTAGGCTAATAATGTCAAAATATTGAAATTCCTTGATTACCGTATCCTCGGAGTTGAATCGTAGACATAATAATTTTCTTCATAAGCAGACGAAAATTTTACAGAATCGGTGATTTGCATTCGATTATACGTATTTCCAGGATAAAATCTCCTACAAAGAATAAAACATTAGAATTTAATTCATTAGCGAATGGTTTATTATTTCTCTAGGATTGAGGTGTAAGATTATTTACAATTTATGTAAATAATTTTAATGGTAATTTATTGGCACTATAAACAGTTGTCGAAAAAATTGTAAGTATTATATTAAAAAAATGGAATGCAGCTGCCGAAAGTAAGAGTACTTATCGCGGCGTGAGAAATCACGTAAGCATCGTATACATATATCTGATTTTTACAACTTCTTTACATGTACATCTGCATCCTCGTATTAAAACCGATTATTAAGAAAACCAGTTTAAAGACGAGCTCGTCGCTTAAGGCGCCCGTTATAAATCAGAGAAGAGCAGCTCGCAATGCGATTTAAACGTAACGTTGAAATCGGAAACGAGGTCAGGACGTGAAGCAATTCCGATTGTTGATAAGGGTTTGATGATCCTCTCGCGCGTGACGGAAGAGATCGAGGACTGCGTCCCACGTAATACCCCATTACAGCGACATTATTTAACGCGCTCGAGGTGATGCACGCGATCATTCTCGTGGCAAGCGTTGCCTTTACGGATTGTTCATTTTACGACTGCTACAAATTTTTGGCTGACAGGCTTAAGGCTGCGAGCTTTGTTTCGTGATTTTTTCTTTTATCGTGGCTTATGGTTGTATTTGTTGTATGAAAACATGCAATAAGTCAACATTTTCTTTGTCAAAATTAAAAGCATTTGTTTGTATTAATATCAGTCTTTAAAAGCGTCTATATGTTTATCATTATTAGGTAAATTCTTTCAACAGCTCGATGCTGTACTTTTAGCATTGTGCTATTGAAGCAGTAAGGAAACATAAAATCAAATTTTTAGTTAAAAATTTCCATTTTACAAAATTAGTCCTCGTAATTATCATTTCATTTTCATTTCTCAACTGTATTATATATAGTATATGAATATGTTGGTAAGAGGGGTGAATTTTTGTACAATTACTTAAAAAAATAAATATTTATAGCAAAGTTGTAAAATCTGAATATGTACATAATTAAACGGAAACATGGTTGCACGAAGTACAAATTTAAGTAAAGCGTTATTTTTTTTTCAATGCGGCACAAAGAACGTCAGACAGCAAATCCGAAGATAGTATTTTCATACTATCTTTAAATTTATTATCATTCATCATTAGCTCGGCATTGTCAATGGTAAACTTGATTGCAGCCGCTTTGAGCTCATTCAGAGTATTTACTGAGTACCTATTGAGAAAAAAGAGAGTTTCGACGATATTATTAACATTCAGTCTTTCAATTAATTTCGCTTCAGAAACCTCTTTAAGTCCTTTCACTTCGTATTTATCGGCAGCAATCCACAGACTACCCGCTAGTTCGTCAAGTTGGTCCACTTCAGCGATGTAAATAAAACGAAGCATTTCTCTCAGTGTGTCGGGATCAATATCCGGAATGTCAGCAAAAGCCTGATTTTTCTCAGACATGTCACTACGAAACATGGCTGCAAATACAGGACTATGGGTAGTCAATATACACTTGTGCACATAGAACGTCTCATCACCAGCAATTAGCTTGAAGTCACTGAAATCTCCAGTCTCTAATAGTTTTCCGTACTGGTTAATGTGTGCCTTGTGATATTGCGATACACAAGCAAGTCTTTCGCTTTCTTTGCTACAAATTGAAACGTGACAAGCTATCTTGAATACATTATTGTCCCGCAAAAGATCAGCAGTGTTCAATAAGGTGGATTTGCCGACAAAATCCTTGGCAAAATCACGAAGGCCATTCTCTGGAGTCAAAACCAGCAACCTTTTGAAATGTTCTTCATTTTCTCGGCCGCATATCGCTACATTAACCTGAATTTTACAATCAATCTTCCGTCCGAGAGAAGCACGGATAGCCACATAACCAGTGTGATCTTGATCGTAACCACCTGGATACAAGATCAACGATAGTACAGATTCTTGCTCTCCATTGCTCACTCTAGTCTGAAAAATTTGTTGTCGATGACCAACTGGATTACTTAGCACCAACTTTGGAAAATCTTTGATTCGGCGAATGTGTACGTAGGATCTGTTAAAGTCGGATCGTTTATTACAAGTAATTTGCTCCGCCATCGTTTTTTCACGATCAAGTGTGTCACAATTGTAAAAAATTTAACTGCAAGAATGTCGTTTACAAAAAACAAACAATTAATTAACTGAACTGCGATGAAGTAACCTACATTTCAATTGAACTGTGATCTATTTATAAACGGTTACTTACAAGTGACTTACTAGTGACTGAGTCGTAGACGACGACACCTGGTAATGGCGAATCGATCTTAAATGCTACTAGCCAATCTAAACGAAAAAGAAATATCGATAAAATGCGTTAATAAGTCAACAGCTCGGTTGCATTTGAAAGTAACGGATTTGAGTAAATTCATGCTTCTTACTAACACGCAGTCCTTTTCAAGACTCTTTGATCCTTATAAGATTATCTACTTAAAATAATCGTTGTCTTGGGACTAGTAGCTACTCTGTAAAACTGTAAGTTTAAATTCTATTATAGTTTATATTATTGCAGTCAACGTTAATTATAATTAATTTATTAATTGATACCTAGATTTTTTATAACGTACAATCTTCAAGATAGTTTCTGATGCACATTAAGCCTGATTAAAATTGACGTAACACCATAAAATCACCGAAAAATTAACAGAATAAATATGATTGACAGAAGTGTCAATTACTTACACTTTGAGTTAGTCGTGATTTGGTTATTTTACTTAATAAATAATATTTCTAAATAAAAAAATCATCAATATTCGTGTCACATGTCACTCATGTAGTTTATTATTGGCACATTGAATCCTTACGTTAAAGTTATTTATAGAAAATAATTTGATAAATAGTATTTTACAATTTTAAATGCATAGTTCTTAGTCGAATACTGTTTGTGTCTGTATGCAGTACAGTATCCTTTACAAATGCTTCATTATTCGAAACAGAGTACCGAAATAACTGTAAACTGCAATTTTCCCAAAGGTCATTTATCAGCCTAGAATAAGAGCATTGATATTTTCCACATGGTATTTTGGAAACGTAGTAAGTGTAACCGATATTCACTCGAAAAAAAAATCCCGTTGAATGCCATCGAGTTTGAAATGTGCTCAACCAAAGCCAATAACTTTTATCTGCAATCAATAAGTTAAGCAACAAAGAAAAACTCTTTCTCGATGCTCAAGCTTTAATTAGAAAAAATTTAATATCCTCGTGCATCATAAAGATCAAATTAATTGGCACAATCTCCGCTTGCGTGCGCGACACGCATCTTCGAGACGACCTTTCTCCGCGTGGCGCGTACGCCGGCGGTACAGCTTTCTCTCTGTCTCTCTCTCTCTCTCTCCCCGATATGCCTTTGACTCTATCGTCCATTAGGCAGATTTCACGCGCGACACGCCCTAAGGATTTCGCAATTGTGAGCAAAGTAGATATGCCCTTTGCGGCTTTAAACGATATTAGTAGGATATTGTTTTATTCAAGGACTATTGATAAATTGATAAGACTTCCAGCGCTATTTGTTCTCTATTTCAAGTTCGTTTTGATTTAACTATAAACGTCGATTAGAAGATATTGTTCGTTAGGTATATACATACAAATACGAGGAGAGATAGATACCTATGTAAATTAATTTCGAGGTAAATTATGGAAAGCCGAATTTATTCCTTATGAAATTCCACAACTGTTCATTCTTTGATCTGAATGATAACCGAGAAGATCACCACTTAAATGGAGAAAAGACATCGCAATGGAGCAACGCTACTTGCGGATCGAAAAATATAAAAATCGACAATCTCATGTGTCCGATGATTTCTTGATGGACGTTAATCTTCCGTTTATATTCGCTTGAAGACTCGAAAGCATTCAGCCCGGACGCGCACGCCTGAGTTCATTTATTTCGAGATTCTTGACATTCAATTACATCGTTGAATCATTCAGTCAAACTGGCGAGATTCAAACGAAATGCTGTTTTATTTATTTACGTTTTTGCGTGTACTTGTACAAGATTTGTAATAAGATTGCGAATGCATTACAAAAGCTTTAATACTATTTTCAATTATGCAATGAAAATTATTTAAAGGGAAAACTATAGCTGACATTCGTTGAATCAAAATAATTACTTTTTCAAAATGGTCAATCCAATAATGCTCAAGATTTATAGCAGTGCTGACAGTCTAAATCAAAGATGTCTTTTTACCGCTTTTTTCATATGTTTCAAGATTACTCCAACTAAAAAGTCACATTAACACCACGTATTAAGTACAGAGACTAAATAGAAAACTACTTGTAAGCGTCAAGAAAAGAATATACATGTAATATTAGGTTAAATCAATTTCTTGAGGCGCTAACGTTCGTCATTCATTGCGTCGAGTTGGATCTAATTTGTTTAATTCGACGACATTCTTAGGCCACGTAATAATTCTCAAATTGAAGTCCAAAATTGACTTTCCCTTTATTTATTATTAATTTTTTGTTTCTCTTCGACGAACTTAAGTTGGCATTATACAATAACTTTATTGCGCGCGTGTAGCGTATTTTTTTTTCGTCGCGTCACCATCGCCTAATGGAATAATTGAGTTGTGATCGAGAGCGTGTATTGAACTTTTGAAAGAGATGAGTGGTTATTCGTTTCGGTTTTGCTGCCGTCATGTCTCCTTTTGAATGCCGGCAGTATCGATACCATTGTCGTTTGATAACTGACAAAGCATTTTGGTGACTAATAAGGTAACAAGGAGAATAAATTTGTTTTAGTAATGCGCGTAACAAGTCAATAATAGAACAATCATTAAATCTAATAATTTCAAGTAGATTTATCTGTTATATAATTCGTAAACTATTCGCTTTTAAATATGCTGGCAACTGCATTTATCTTCCTGCAATCTTTATTATTATCTGATTTTAAATTTGCTATAAAATTAATTTGCTGAATGTATGCGTAAGATGAATGTATTTAAAAAACTTCCCATTTTTAATCATGAGCTCTGACATTCGTTAAAACGTAATATGAAAGTATAAAATTCATCTAACGAGGAATGACACACAGATATTACGTGACCAGACGCATACGTAGAATATTTCAGTGTAATATTTGAACAATCATAAACGCGCATACAGAAAAAGCAAAAAAGAAAGCGACAGTAAGAAAAAATGATTTTCTAGACTACTCATAAATCCGAATGAAATTATATAACACCTTATTTATTAGAATTGCATGCAATGCAGTTAAATAAAACAGCAGATAAAATTAACCAAAATTGTGGAAATAAAAAAATTAGAGCGAAATGGAGAATAATTTTGATAATCACAAAAATAATGCTTCCTTTGCGAGGAAACAAAATGAATAATTTATATAACTTACTCTACAAACATTATCTTGAAAGATGCAAATCAAGAGCGAATTTGTGACAGCGCTCCAATAACTAGGCAATGTAATGTGGAAAAGAGCATTCTGAATACGTACATCAAGAAATTTACATAAATCTTATCTTATCAGTGAATGAATTGCTGAAAAATTGAACAATCAAGTCTTGACCTGAAAAACAAGTAGCTCAAAATTATCATTCAGTTAGTCGTAATGTTGAAACTAGGTGCAAATATCGTGTTTCCACAATGGTTTACCGGGTTAACAGGTATGTTATCCATTGAACTATCGAATCCACAGGCATTAATGAAAAACCACGTTTTATAGTTACCTTACTGTTGATGCAGCAAGGTGTGATCGGCGGTATGGTATCGCCTATGCTAGCAAAACTCACATCACCGGATTCACCTATCCTTCTGAATTCAGAAGAAGCTTCTTGGCTGGCATCATTAGCAAATATTGCTCGACTGTTTGGCGCTGTAATCGGATCAATAGCGTGTGCTTATCTCGGATCTAAACGATCCATCCTCCTCACCTGTTTGCCAATATCAGTGGGTTGGTTGGCTACAGCTTTCGCTAAAAATGTCGAAACACTGTACGCTGCGCGAGTATCAAATGGAATAGGTACTGGTATGATGTTCAGTACGTTTCCCTTATACATTGGTGAAATAGCTATGCCGAGTATACGTGGTGCACTCATATCGTTCGCCTGCTGCGGTTTTCCAATTGGTCAGATAGTAGGAAGTTTCGCTACCAGTTATTTCGATTTGACAACATCCTCATTGATTTACTTTGGTCTATGCTCGATCGTCGTGGCTATACTTCTATTGCTACCCGAGTCGCCATATTATTTTATTAGAGTGTCTAATCGGAAGGCTGCTAAGAAATCAATAAGCTGGTACAGAGCTGACAGTGGAGTTGAAGAGGAGCTAAACGCAGTTGAGAAGTTTGTAGCTACTGAAAGATCTATGAGTTTCATAGATAAAGTAAAGGAATTTCGTAAGCCAGTGATGAGGCAAGCTATTTATCAAGTGATCGTGTTGTTTACATTTATGCAAATTTGTGGCTTGAACAGCATCATGTCGTACATGGAGATTATTTTAAGAAAAGCTCAATGTACAATCCTCAGCCCTGGAGAAGTTGTTGTCTACGTGAATATATCTGCGACTATAGCTAATGTGATTTCAATATTTTTAATCGACAACTGTGGTCGAAAATTTTTGTTAATATTCTCCAGTGCAGGTTTGACTGTATCGATGGTCAGTATGTCGGTGCATTTTGCGCTCATCGATAACAACGTTAACGTGATAAATTTGCAATGGATACCCATAGTATCCATGGTACTATTTATGGCTTTTTTTTTTCTCGGACTTATTCCAGTTCCAAGTGCAATTTTGAGTGAAACTATACCGTCGAATATCAAATCTGTTGCATCTGGCATAGGTAGTTTTACTGCTGGAATCATGGCCTTTTTATCTACTAAAACTTTTCAGCCTATGGTGGATGGGATGGGTGAGACTTATGTGTTTCTGACTTATGCTCTTATTACCGTAGTTATTATACCTTACGCTATTTTCATAATGTTGGAAACAAAAGGCAAGAGTTTACAGCAGATTCAAGAAGAGTTAGTGAAAAAATAGTCTCTTATCTTTACAAATAGTGATACAAATAATTGTACTTTTTGTAAACATAAAAAGAAAATATAAAAGCAAGCACTGCTTGTAAAATTATTAATATTACATTTTCGATAAAACTAATTTCGTCAAACAATCTCATCAACATTTAGATTGTGAAACGAATCTTAAGCAATCAACCATTAACAAATATAAAATTATTTTTACACCTTCTTATAAATAAGATGTTAGTTTACTAAATTTTTTAATTTTACTCTTTTTCTGTCTCTGATATTTCTATTGCGATTAAATTCGAGCCTAGACGATATCGACAAGTACTACATTAATAGGCATTGCTTTTCGTGTAAATTTAGCATCCACAGGATACTTTATCTTCTTTTTATTATATACCCGATCACCTTTTAGAGTTTACAGGCAACATAAAATACATTATTAATTTTTATGTATGAATTTATCGATGAAGTAATTATACAAGCAACTTTATCGTGCAATCATTTATAAAATTATTATATCATACTAATGAAGATATTTTGTTTAGTAACAGTGGTAGACCGATTTCCATGAGGAATGGGGTAAAATAATAAGTGAGAGGCTTATCTTCATGGTATAATGCAACCACACTAGTTGGCGCCGAAGCGTTGTATTGGGCGGGCTGAAGTGATTATGATTACTGATACACGTTCGTAGCACCAATTTCAAACTGCGCCAGCGTAAGGGTCTTACTTGCGTTAACTCACGTATTTCTGGACCTACGGCAGACTTGTACTAAAGCTGTGTTCAACCTGTACTAAAACTGAAATAAAGCTTATGCATATCTTCTTTTCCGTGAGAGAGAAACTTTCACGATCCTGAGGCAAGACTTTTTATTTCTTTCTCCCAGCAAAATTTTGAGTAAATGAGATTTTTCCGTGTTGATTTGTGGCTTAATTAATTTAATCATGCGGATATTTGAAATTTTATAAGAAAAAGAAAATACCTTTTTTTTTTGAAATGATGATGTGGTCGCGATTAACCATCGAATTGTGAGTGGATATGTTTGTTTTTAGATTATAAGTTACGAAAAAAAGAAATGTTTTTTCGATAACATTGTCTTTGAGTCAACAATGTCTTAATATAAAGATTTCTCTGAAAAATGATACTACGCTATTGTGTAATATCATAAACCACCGTTAAAGACATAGAAAAAGCTGTTATCAAAGATATGATTACCATAATACGATAGTACATCAAAGACTCATAGCCTTTAATTACGTGGTCATCATTATATCGACCACACGCTCAGACTACCTATTATTTTATTATCAACTACAGAATGAATTACACGCTAGGAGCATGTGTGGGTGCGCGCGTGTGCTCGTGTGTGTGTATGTAAGTATCTGGCAAACGAGCTATTCGAATTAAATATCGCGAAAACAATAACAAAAGCTTGTGAATACTAACGATAGAGTAGAGAAAAATTAAAAATCTTGAACTTTATTAAATAGATAGAACGATTTTTATGCACTACAAGTTTTTTTATGCTAAATATGAAAATATAATCGATAACAGTACTTTATTTTCAAAAACTATGGTAGATATACAAAATTATGCACAGATCTAAATAGTGTCACTGTCGTTGTCGGTGTGTCGGTATCGTCAAAGTCGACACAACTGGCGAGACTGTTTACATTTGGACAGCGCTGCTCTCATTCAGACGCTGAACTCATACTACGATCGTTCGTTTGCAAACAGCAAGCAGTTGAATTAATGTTTCTGGCTGAATTTAGCTAAATCGTCGATGGTCGCATGACTTGAGTCATCGGACTGTTCAGCGTTGCATCTGAGATGTCGGGGTTCAAATCCCCGCTGAAGTGATTGAGTTAGGCATTCATAATGCCAATTGCGTGCCTTTGTTACCCTTACTGGGGCAAATGTATGTCGACATAAAATGGGATCTGGATAAAGTATTGTTAGCGCGATCAATGTCCTAATACCATTTAGTTGACAAACAGTTTAGCACCAGTAAAATCATTAGTTTAAGTGTAACGAAGCAATAATTAAGAGCAATATCTACGCAATATTAATATAAAATCTTTCCTCGGTTTCTTCAGTGACGTAATTGGTAGCGTACTCAGCAACTATAAGGGCAGTGGCGGTACTCACGACTAAATAAAACGGCGATTTTTTTTCTTCAATTTTAAGATGTAGTTTATATTAAGTAAAGCTGCGGATGATTTACTTGATGATTGTTTGGATTTTCATTAATTGTTGTATCACGTTGTCTAGTTTATTAAAAAAATAGACGAATAACGAAAAAGGTACATGAAAGCAGAATAATAATTGTTTTTTTGTAAAATTTCCGATCGTTAATCGTATGTGTAAAAAAATAAATTCGCAGATAGTAATGTAGAAATTCTCATTAGAAGCGTTCCATATATAGTGCATATTACTAATATATTTGAAGGAAATCTAACGCCTGTCTTGACTGATGGATTACAGGTAAACACTTAGTAGGGCAAACGTTACTTTTGTTTTGCGTCGGTTGAAAACAATGTTAGTTTTAATGAAACAAACATGTAAAGGAAATAAAACTTGACTAGTAGCTTTATTTTTTTAAATAAAACTACTTTACAATGACGTATAAAGTTTGCAATATCAAAACCTGAGTGTTAATTTTCGTTTTATCGATTCTCTTGCTGAAAAAATTCACGTTATTCTATCTAAACAAAGACCTTAATTATTCATAATTTATGATTGACTTATTTGAAACGTACACATGCTAATATAACAGATTTCATATTCTTAAGCGATATGCTTCTGGATGAATGTCTCACTAAAAACGATTAACGTTCTTAATGCTATAATGCATAGATATATTTGAATTTGGATATTTAGCTATAATCATTTAAATGACAGGGACGGTTATTTTGCGAAGAAATTAATTGAATTTATACTATTGATAAAAATTATTCGTTTATTCCAATAGCTTCAATTAGCTCATTTTTCGATTAATCAAGTTATTATTATTATTATTGTGAATAGATTTTAATAATGTTACCTTAATTGTGTGTCTAATTGATTTCAGAAAAATTTCCACATGCAAAGATTAACAGAATTGCAGGTCATTTTCAGAAAGTGTATAAAACTGCTTTTACACACTCACACGCGCACGCGCACACAAAAGATTTGGGTATATCATGAAAATTAGTCATTAGTAATTTGTTTTTGTTCCAGATCAGTTATGAATAGTAGTATACAGATATATAGCTTGAAAGGCACAGCATCTAAGTATAAAAATTTAAGTAACCGACCGGTCTTAGATTCATGGAGTTTCCAAACTGATTGTTACAGTTGCCTTAGTACTTTTACATATTTGAAATGGACTGTAAGAAATTAGAAATATATAAATTATAAACATGAGTTGTGATGTATATGTATAATATTGTTGAATACTTAATAAATTTCTTACTAAACGACAACATATAAAGTTTCATTAAAAAGTAAAGTAATTGTTGGTCAAAAAACATAATTGAATAATACGCTACTTTGGTCTAACGCAATAAAGGAACGATTTAGAATTAATATTGTTATAATGTAAAAATTATAACATGAGCTTTAATGATATTGGAACGAACCATCTAGTGATTGTAGATGATATTGAGTGGAGAATAAATAACAGAAATCACAGTTTAGATTGAAAACACGTTAGCAGCTGTTGGAAACGTTAGTGATGCAGTAATTGCGCATATGAAACCGGAACAAAGAAACAGTAGCAGTAGCAGAAGCACGCGGAGTTGGGGTTTACGCACGTACCCTGGCGCCGATATAAACATACTTTGGTTTGAACAAAGAAGATGTACATTCTCGACACGCGCGCGCGTGCTGCAGAGCTTGAGCTCGTCGATCGTCTGTAGGCCGATTGCCCGGCAATTACAGGCCTATCGGTAATAAATTCAGCGTTTCCTCGCTCTGAATTTACGCTCCGGCCCTTTCTCTTGTATACATGTACCGTTGCGTTTGTGTGCCTTGCTGCGGTGATTATGTCTTTATTATGTGTTGCGCCTCGCCAACTCGCCGAATCGTCGTTCATTTTTTACTCTGGACCTCTCTTTTGTCCACGAGCTGCTCTTTTTTGGTGCCGAATCGATCGCTATCTTCGAGGATGTGTTGCTCGTTTTTTCAGAAATTCAGAGAGTGTTAATTAACCCGATTGCGGACTGATATACGCGAGTCGGCCGTGTTAAATTTAAAAAGAGCCCTCTTACGGGTAAGTCAAGGGGGACCTTCTTGGGGAGTTTAATGAAAAATTAAATTTAAGCGTGCGATCAAATGTTTGCCGCGAGGCACTAATTTATGGCGCTGATATTTATCTTGATGAGATTAACTTCGGTTATTGAGGTTTGAATAAAGATTGTTTCATCCACGTAAAATGCACGTTAATCTATAATTTATTATCATGTTACTTCAAAGAAATTCATGCCAAATTTGAATGCTACAAAGGCATTTCGTCGCGCAGCTAGGAATGCGAAAAGAACGCCAAGCCATCTTACAATTATAAATTCATCATATTTGGCCAATGAGGAATTTGTCGAGTAACCATGATCGTATCAAATTCTCCGACGACGGATAAATATTCGTAACGTCCGTGCAGCGAGTTGCGGAGATAGACTCTGGAAAAGACCTTGACGATAAATTGGCGTCCACCGCACAGTCAAGCAAGCGCACCAAAATAATCCGTCAGAATATGAACAAAGAAACATATAACTGCTTCCGGAATTTCTTTTTCTTAACTTGCAAGTTGCACGCAAAGTGAATGAACTTTATACTCTTGAAATAGTAGAAGTTGGTCGAATGAATCATTGCTTTTGTTACGATTTTAATCAGACGATTGTCGGGCTATTGATAATTGTACGGAGAATAGCGACAGGAGTTGAAGGAATCCTGTCTAAGAAAATAACGCGATCAAGAGTTCGTGGTAACTTTTAATGAGAAATAGTGAAAACATAATTTGTCTATAAAAGATTTTTTTCACAACCAAGAATCATAATTGCGCATAGACTTGTGTGTTTAAAAATATATCAATTTAAAAAAGTTTCGTTAGATCCGTTTTAGCCATACATCAAAATTCTTACCACCAAAAAGGAAGAAAATATATCAAATCAAAGGCCTACAATTATAAAGTACACGTTCTTGTTTATGCAGCCCACAGCTTAACGATCGCGTTTGTTCGCTCTTTACCGCCACGACATAGAGGCATTAAAATCTACTTGGGCATCATTATACATGGGAGTCATTGCGGTAGCTCAGGTGCGTGTAGCTTCCATGAGGGACTGTACGTATAGTTGTTCACCACTCACTTGCGCGCGCGCGCGCGTGTGTGCGTGCTCGCGGATAACCCAACAGCTTTGTAACTTCCTGCTCTCTGTATCTCTCGCAGAAATGTACTGACTTTTGTTTAGATAACTCGAGTATTACTTCGGATAGAATCTGCTGCGAGATTTTTTTTTTTTCGAATGCACGTGGCTTTTTTATTACTTAACAACGTGTAGTATGTGAAAGATATTTATATACAGAAAAATAACGTCTGACATTTTTCCAATAGGTATTATTCAAGTATATGTTAAGGTTTAAGGTAGTTTCGTGCAGAGCTGCAAGTTTTTCTGTTCAACTTGTTTCTCATTTATGAATGATCCTTAAGTACATGTCTAGTCAATAGACGGTCAAAGGACGTTTTCTGTGGAAAGGGAAATTACGTGTTTCATGAAATTA